CAATATTTTGGATAAACAGACCCGACCCATAATTTGACGATCCCGGAGGGTCCGTAGAAAAATATAGGACTTGGGCGTATGTCTGAAATTGAATTCCGAGGTCCCTAGCCCAAGAAATTAATTTTTGAAGAAAATTATTTAACTGAAAAATATAAGGAGTTTAGAAATTGAATAATATTTGAATTTGATGGTATCAGGTCCGTATTTTGGCTCCGGAGCCCGGTACAGGTCTAACATGGTATTTAAGTTTCTGTAAAATTTGGTAAGAAATAGAGTTTGTATGACGTGATTCGGACCCTCGGTTGTAAAAATAGAAACATTATGAGTTCTTGAGATTTTCATTGATTTTGATGATAAACACGTTATTTAAGATGTTATTTGGGCGATTTGATCACACGACCAAGTCCGTATGATATTTTTAGACTTGTATGCATGTTTGATCTTGAGCCCTGAGGGCTCGGGTGAGTTTTGGATAGGCCACAAAGTGTTTTGAACTTAAGAAAAACTGCAGGTGTGTTTCAGGTCTGCAGGCTTCGCATTTGCAAATCCTAGCTCGCAAATGCGAGCATCATATACCCTTCGTATTTGCGATAAAAAGGCTGGGCAGGGGACCTTCGCAATTGTGAAGTTCACCATCGCATTTGCGATAAGAACAGGTTGCAATTGCGAACAGATGTTCGCATTTGCAATAATAGCAGGCCTGAACATTCTTCGCAATTGCGATATAATTTGCGAGGTTCGCAATTGCGAACCCCTGATCGAAATGCGATAACTGCGACTGTTTAAAAAGAGTTCTAGACGGGATTTCAATTCATTCTTTCAAATTTTCAAACCCTATGCTCCCATAGATGATTTTCCAAAGAAAAGTTCTTCCCCAAATCATAGGTAAACAATTTCTAACTCATTTCTTTCAATCTACTTCATCTTTTTACAAGATTTCATCACAAAATCTAGGGATTTTCATGGGAAATTGTGTGCTTTTGGGTGAAATTTGGGAATTTCGAAATTTGGGGATTTAGACCTCAAATTGAGATCGGATTTCAAAACCAATTGCATATCCGAGCTCGGGGGGTGAATGGGGTAATTGGGTTTTGGTCCGAACTTCGGGTTTTGACCAAGCGGGCCCGGGGTCAGTTTTTGACTTTTTGGAAAAATATTGGGAAACCTATAATTAAGCAATTAATTTGAGTTCTTTAGCATTTATTGATGTTATTAAGTTAATTATGACTAGATACAAGTGAATTGGAAGTGAAATCTAGAAGGAAAGTGATATTTGAGGCTTGATTTTGGCCGTGGGATCGAGGTAAGTGTTTGGCCTAACCTTAGCTTGAAGGAATAGGTGTTGTGTCTTGTTTGCTACGTGTTAGTGTTGTGTACGACGTATAGGTGAGGTGACGAGTATCTATATATTGGTGTCGAGCATGACCGTGAGTCTTATACTGTGACTGTTGTGACTCTTGTTATGTACTGTCCATGATTAAATTGATAATTATCCATGTTGAACAAGAGTTATGATAATTTCTTGGTAATTGACCATTGTTGAGTGTTGGCTCAAGTTGAGATTTATTTTATGAAGTTAACTGTTGGAACGCGATTGGTTATAGCTGAATCCCTTGCCAGGATGTATCTGTTTCTATTGTTGATTCCCTTGCCGGGATGTTATTGTTTCTGCTGTTTGGGTGAGGAAAGAGTGATAAAGCATGAAGGGTGATGTCGTGCACATTCATACTTATGCATATGGTAAGGAAGAGTGATAAAGCACGAAGGGTGATGCCGTGCACATTTACATTTATATTGATACATATGGTGAGGAAGAGAGATAAAGCACGAAGGGTGATGCCGTGCACATTTATACTATTCATATGGTGAGGAAGAGTGATAAAACACGAAGGGTGATGCCGTGCACATTTTTATTATTGATTGCATGGTGAGGATTGAGAGTAAAAGCACGACGGGAGATGCCGTGCATTTTCTGTTTGCTGTGTTCATTTGCTATTATCTGTTCAAGTGTTTTAACTGTTTAAATTTCTTTACTATTGTAATTCTTTATGTTGAAATCCCATGGCATGTTGCCCCTTCCCGTACATTTTTGCTTGGTTTTTATTACTTGTTACTCTGTTATTACTGATTAACTGCACAGGTTTATGATGTTTGTCGTGTCCTAACCTCGTCACTACTTCGCCGAGGTTAGGCTTGACACTTACCAGTACATGGGGTCGGTTGTACTAATACTGCACTCTACACTTTTTGTGCAGATCCCGATACTGGACCTTACGGACCGTAGTTCGAGGTCGCTGCCTTCAGTCCAGTGGAGACCCGAGGTAGTCCTGCAGCCGTCCGCAAGCCTTGACGTCCCCTTCTACCCTGTTTCTTTTATGTTTTATCTATTTCCGAGACAGATGTGTATTTCTTGTTCAGACCATTATTTGTAGTATTCGTAGACTGTCCGTGAGATTGTGACACCAGTTTTAGGTGGAGTTTTATTATAGTTTTGTATTTGTATTAAGTTAATTTGTTAAATTCTGTTCTTCTGCATTTTGTTTCTGCTGATTTTTCTTATATTAACTGGTAAATTATTAAAAGATAAAGGAAACAGGTAAAAATAATCAGTAACGTTGGTTTGCCTAGCAAATATAATGTTAGGTGCTATCACGATCCCGGCGGTAAAAAATTCGGATCGTGACAACCTTTCTTAACCCAACACATGGTTGAGGTAAAGTTCAATCTATTTTGTAATTTGGATAAGGCCCGTACTGAACAATTTCAGTTGAATGATCTTCTAAGCTTACTAACAATTTGCGAGGAAAATAAATTTACAAAAATCTCTCGTGTTTCATTTATAGGTCTACTATATATGTTATTTTTCACTTATTTAATGCGAAAAGGATCATATATAGGGGAAAAAATAACATCTGTAATGTACTATGAAACTACTTCTTCATCAATTTCACATGGCAAATATCTTTCACCCCTTTTACATTTTTCAATAATTTGATCTCCTGTAAGATCCTTAAATAGGTCCCAGCTGTATTCTATATAGTCTTCCACGCATTGCAGATAACAAATGTACTCTATTTCTTCGATAGTTTTAATTTTACAGTTTACGAATGTCTTGGGAAATAAAATTAAGACAAATATGCAAATTTGCAAAATTGCCATAATTTGCTTATAACACATTTTTCTCGTCATATATATTCCTGCAAATTTAATACTTTTATCAGTACCAATAAAAATTCTTGCTAACCATATTTTCTAAAATATAAATTAATTGGCACCTTATTAGAAGGCGTCACTTTTAAATATCTACTGGAATTTTTGGGGAGGTTTAATTTATTCATGTGCATGCAACCAAATTTAAAGTAATTACACTTGTCAATTTAAAATCCTCATGCCCAAATCGCTCCATTTAAATGAAAACAGGGAATCATAATTAGAATGAAATGAAATGTACGTAACTATAGATTTAATTACATGTAAAAAAGATCTCAGCTTTTTGAGAACAATAATTTTGGATGATGAACATTATCAATGCATATTGCCTTATATAAGTTGATTAGATAATTTATGATAAAATATTATAAAAAGTTTTTCATTTACTTGTATTTATACCATACATTAGGGGTATAAATGCAAAAATCTCTGCAAATAGACATAGCAACAAGTATATAAATAATTTCAAGAATTAAATAAAATTAAGTTAAAATTTGCTTACGCAATTCTGATTGTCAAACTATGTCTGCGAAACAGCTTTGTTCTGATTGGTAATGCTTTATCAAGTTAATGTGAGACACAACAGATGTTTATTTGTTTTTGTTTTTTCAAACAATAGATGGTTCATAAATAGGTTTGATATTGTATCGTTCGTTCCAAATTTATTTACTCTTTTGGGAGTTTTAAAAACGTTTTGTATGTTTCATTTTACTTATGAATATGACATGGAAACATTCATCGCATGCAAGCAATAATCAAACTTATTGAATTTGAATGAGTTCACCAATATATATTATGTAAAGTTTTCTAGAACAATATAGGCCATCAAATATCTACTTAATATTTATAATCATTGTATTCAATATTTGATTTCAGTTAGAGTGCCATTCCTTGTCACAAAAAAATAGAAGAGACTTTGCCTTTAAATCATACGCAGCCCTTCCCCTTCCTAGGAGGCCGAACGAGACCAAGCTACCGAAATATGAAATAACCATTTTAATTAGTAATGGATTATTAAATCAATAAAGTAATTACTTTGGTACACGATTCCAACATTTTTCTGAGTACATAAGTACTACTCCTATTTAACTGGTTTTTACGTCTTGGGTTGAGCTTGTTGCTTTGAGCTGTTTAATAATTTGGCTTAAGAAAAATGAGTTACAATTTTGAGGAATCACTTGCCCAGTTCCATCACTGGTGAGCGTCAAGGGCAAGAATTTGTTTATGAACTTGAAAATTTGTGTTAGCCATATATATTATACACACACACTCTCTTGGCCGAGATGGAGTAAAATGTGAAGAGAATTTTAATCTAAGTTTTCTTTCATAACTTGCTCGATCAAAATATGTTGAAATGAAAAAAAAAAAACCCATTACAACTTGCAACAATATATAAAAATTTGATGAACAATCTTAACCTCCAGTTGTTTTTGATATTATCCTCACATACATAAGTAGGTTGGCTAACAATTACTATCTAAGACACTGAGGTAGCTCTACACTAATTACTCCCACTTGTTAAAAGGAATTTAAAAAAACATCTGAAATACAAAAAATAGTACGTAGTACTACATGCATGAGCACCTCTAATGGCAATTTTTGCCACAAGGATACGGGCAATAAACTTCTTGAAACTCACTCCTATCAAAAAACCAGTCTCCAACAGCTTCAGCAATTGTCTGTTACAATGAGATATTATCAAATGTCAAATAACAACACAAGGAATAAAGCGGAAATTATACAAATACCAAAAAAGAGAAAAAGAAATTAAAGTGACCTTGTTAGCTAATGTTGGAGAGTTGTTGTAGGACCAATAGCCTTGTGCTTCAATACCATTGTGAGAATGGCAAGAGGAAATGAAATATCCTCTTGATATACTTGGTCCTAGTTCGTTCAGTGCCTCCAAAAATGTCAACCTGAAATCTGATGAACAAAAACTCAAAAGCAAGTTAGAGAAAATGTTAAAGAGAGGAATTGTCACATGAATCGGATTAAAAGAGAATAAACTGGCAAATATATATATATATATATATATATATATATATACCTTGGAAAGTTTGGAGTTGACTAGGTGAGCAATTATTTATATTTGTCTTGCAATTTATCCACTCATTATAAGGATCGGCCTCCTTGGGAACCAAACTGTTGTTTATCTAAAGTTTAAGAATCAAAAGGCAAAACCATTTAGAATTTGGAAGGAAACGAAGTAAATAAAGTAATAGCACAAATGAACAAAATTTGTAAATCATAGAAATTTATTTTCTAACCTGCCAAGAATCATAGGCCGAGTTGATGATGAAAAGTGGTGCGCAAATATGTCTTGCTGCATACTGAGGGAAGAAGCACTGCAAAATCATCGTATATTTTTGAGACATATCAATTCAGCTAACTAATTTTTTCACAAAATAACTAAATGAACAAATAAAATCGTTCTTACCAAACTTGGGTCTAAACTCAAGGCCGTGCAAGAGAGTGGTAGGTTCTTGACAGATCCCTAAAGTACCCAAGAAAGGGTAAAAAATGTTTTATACACATTAGGTGCAAGAAAAATAATAAACTATAGTTGAGATAAAATTGACAACATTAAGAAATTAAAGAGAAACTATTTATATGATGCTTCTTACGTGTAAGACAACGACTCTCTTATACTTCTCCTTAATAACCGGTTCGCCAATTACAGTCTTTCTGCATAAATTAATTCGAGAATTAATTTGTCTTTTTTTTCTTTTTTCTTTTTTCCTTTCTTGGAGCTATAATTTATTCAGTAATGAGAGTATTCAGAATGTAGTCAGTAAACTTACACATTGACAAAAAAGCCAGCATCAGAGATGCATTTGACTCTAGCAGTCAAAGAGAATAAAAGTCTGAACTTGTCGCAACGTAATTGCACCCAACCCTCCTGCTGAAGTTCCACTAAGGATGGGAATATTCTAACTTACAGGGTCAACTTCTTCATCATCTCTAGTATATTTATGACCCATCACAATACCTAATCTTACATTTTTTTAAGAATATCTTTTCAGTTGTTATTAGTGCCACAACTTGTATACTGTATACACTTTCAAGAAGAAAAGGTAATTAGTCATAAAAATACATATAACCTACTACATTAAACATGCACCTGGATTTTGTCGAGGATCATTGCTTAGAACTTCTCTAAAATAAGCTACAGTTGGCCTATTTTTCGAAGATAAGTCCGTTGCCGCACGAGTTTGGCAGTCGGAAGTAGTCTCACATCACCCTCCTCCCTAGAAAATCAGAGTTGAAGATTAGCAAAAACAAGGTAAAAAAAACACAATAACATTAATTAAACAAAATAACATAAAATATGAGTATATATATACCTGAAGATGAATGAGCCAACTATAAGCTCCAGAGCCAGTTCCCGGATAAAAGTGGAAAGCGGGAGCACTTCCATCCAAGCATACTTTAAATACAAAATTAACCAAAACAACAATAAACTCAAAATATTTATAAAATTTAAAGACTAGGAAAGTTAAGAAGATGTATAAATATAAGTACTGAGGGAGTTCTTTTCTGAAGAAACATCAATCTCACCAGCTCCCTTTGCTTTTGCGCTTTCCAGAATGGTCGTATTTACATAGACCTCCGCTTCAGTTGTCGTCCAAAGACACAGTAGAGAAACTAAAACAGATAACGTCTAAGTGTTAATACTAATAAACAAAATCAATACAGAGAAAGCTAGGTGTTGAAGTTCATGCCGCGAGTTGATAGAAGAAAACATTGAAAATGGGAGCTTGAGAAGAAGAGAGAGAAGATAAAAGATACGTACAAAGCACCACAGATATGAGAACTGAGTTAAAATCTATCACTTTTGCCATTCCAACAGTCAGACTTGAAGTTGAAGAAGAAGGTAAATGAAGTTTGGGGAAATTAGTCTCTCTTAAAAAGCTGTAAAGAGGAAAAAAGAAAGAAATACTGAGATATAAAGCCTTTTTCTAAGCACTGTGATCATAACATCAACCAGTAAATCTTTGTAATAGAACTAAACTTAACAGCCAGCTTTTATTAAATGGTATATCCCATATTAGGTTAAATAATTATTCACTGCATGTGATACGCTTATTTTCAAATTACCAAATTAAATAAATAAATCGGTCCCCCACATATACTTAATATTGAACTGCTTATAGACGAGACAAATCTTATTTAACGCACGGTTACTAAAAATGTTTTTGACTATGTGACCCTAGCTTTCTAATTTTGGAGCACATTTGTGTTTTGCACGACAAAGATGTTAATGCCTATGCATGTGACTCTGTTTCTCTCTACAATCAGAGTAGACAAGAATAACCAAAAATATTGAGATCGAATTGATCAAGTAAGATGATCTCTCAAAAGTATTATCGAACCGAATTTTACATGAATTTTAAGGTTGTAAATTTAGTGAATGTATATAGCCTATTTTTGCTATTTAGCCTCTTTCTTGAAATAAATGTATAATCCATATTTTGAAATCCGTCAATGATCTGGATTGGGAGATTATGATTATATATGCTATATTGGGATTAATGTGGTTTATCTTACGTGCTCTTGGCTTTTTATCTTACTCAGACTTGAAGTTGAAGAAGCAGATCAAATAAGTTTAGCGATGTTTTATTGCTAATATTGAAGAAAATTTATATTTTGCAGGACAAAGGAAATTCTGCCCATGCATGTGACTCTATTTCTCTATACATCAGAATGGAAAGGACTAATGATACACTTCTTTAATTTCGAATTCCCATCAAAACGATCTGTCTGAACGTTCTCTTGGGATGAATATGAAATTTAATTCATTCTATACTTTAAGACTAAAACTTCTACTAGCAGTTTTCAATCTCTTTTTCCCTATAACAGAACATATATAAAGCATGTAAATTAATACAGATGATATTGACCTCCTTTTAAGTTGTACTTACCATGCTTATGTGACCTAATTTTCTACTTTTGGAAACAGTATTTATGGTTGGCAGAAATATATTGATGCTTATGTGTGTTAAATCTCCATGAATTGGTGAATTGAGCTGTTCGTGAGTGCAATCGAGTGAAGAGGATGAAGAGATTAAGAAGACGCAAAAGCAGAGGAGAGCAGAATTTTCAGTTCTTCATTCTTCACATGCTATACTTACAAGAGTCGTATCTATACATCTCTAATCCTAATGAATGACAGCTGTAAAACCAACTAACTAATACACCCCACTAACACATAAGTTAGGTAACACTGTTAAGCAAACAACTAACTAATTAATTGACCATGTCAACTAACTAGAGTCACGTAATAGAGTCATGTAATAGCTGTACTGTTTAATTCTTCTACACCCCCCTCAAGCTAGGCGATATGAAGAGGTTCTTCATGCCTAGCTTGGATATGAGATAATGATGCTGAAGTTGAGTGAGTCCTTTGGTAAGAACATCGGCTTGTTGCTCAGAGGAACTCAAATGATGAAGACATACCAACCCTTGCTGAACTTTCTCGCGTATGAAATGACAATCGTTGTCAATGTGCTTGGTGCGTTCATAAAAAACTGGATTAGCAGCAATCTGAATGGCTGATTTACTGTCACAATATAGAGAGATAGGCAACTGAATAATCATATGCAATTTCTTAAACAATCCAAGCAACCACACAAGCTCAGCAACTGTCGAGGCAAGACTTCTATACTCTGCCTCGGCAGAACTTCTAGAGATAGTTATTTGTTTCTTGGATTTCCAAGAAACAAAGGAATCACCAAATTTAATAAAGTATCCTGTAACAGACCTGCGAGTATTTGGACATGAAGCCCAATCAACATCACAATAAGCAACTAAACAAGAAGAAGAAGCAGAAGATAGGAGGATCCCAACGCCAGGAGATTGTTTGATATAACGAACCAATCGTACAACAACTTCCATATGAGAAACCTTAGGTGAGTGCATGAATTGGCTTAAGCACTGAACTGCCAAACTAATATCTGGACGTGTGTTAGTCAAATATAACAGTGTGCCTAAAAGTCTCTGATATATACTAGGATCAACAAGAAGAGCATCATCAGTCACCCCAACATGTGCGTCAAATTCTGAGGATGTCAGCTTCAAATTAAACTCCAACGGAGCACCCACTGACTTAGCTCGAGCTAAGCCCATATCTGATATCAGTTCAAGGGCATACTTTCGTTGATGCATAACAATACCATCCTTACTTCTGGACAATTCAATCCTAAGAAAATACCTTAGCTCACCAAGGTCTTTGATATTGAAACTAGATTGCAAGCATGCCTTAGTTTCAAGGATCATGGTGGAGTCATCACCTGTGATCAAAAGATCATCGACATAAACCAACACTATAAAAAACTTTCCGTGAGACTATTTCGTGAATAGAGAATAATCCAAATGACTTTGGACAAATCCATAGGACAGTAAAACAGAAGTTAATTTTAGATTTCACTGCCGAGAAGCTTGTTTAAGACCATACAAAGACTTAAACAACCTACAAACATGCAAGAGCCCTTAGAACTGTGAAAACCCTGGGGTAAACTCATATATACTTCTTCATCCAAATCACCCTGTAGAAAAGCATTATAGACATCCATTTGATGGATTGTCCAATGCTTGGTTGTAGCAATAGCTAGAACACATCTAACAGTTACCATTTTAACTACGGGTGAAAAAGTTTATTGGTAATCTAACCCCTCTTGCTGACTATAACCCTTTGCTACCAATCGTGCCTTAAACCTTTCTACCTCACCTATATTTTTATACTTAATTTTATATACCCACCTACAACCAGTACCCTTCTTACCAGGAGGCAAAGGTACTACCTCCCAGGTATTGTTAGCTTCCAAAGCTTGTAGTTCAGCTTGCATAGTCTCAATCCATATGGGATCCTTAGCAGCCTGTGTATAGGTCTGGGGATCAACATCAACAGATAACTTGGTGAGAAAACTTTGATACCTTGGTGTCAAAGTATCATAGTTAACAGCATTAGACAGTGGGTAAAGACAAGCAACAACAGTTTTACTAGGAACAACAAAGTCCTTCAACCGAATAGGTGGCTTAGACACCCTTCCAGATTTTCGGTGTGGTGGTTCTAGATTAGAAACTGGTAATGGTCCTGAATCAGGAAAAGATATAGGAGTAGAAGAAGAGGAGTCTGCAGTGAGGGAAACAGACTCTGCATTATCAAGGACTGCTATTTCTGATGAGGTTATTGCTTGTGGCTGGTTTGATGGAATGGGAACAGAATCTTCTGGTGGAGCAGAAGGGATTGATAGAACTGGAAAGGAGAAGTCTTGGTCTATGGTCTGAGAATAGAAAGGAAAGATGTTCTCATGAAACAGAACATCTCTACTAATAAAAACTATCTTGTGCTCAATGTTATATAGTTTATAACCTTTCTGAAAAGTTCCATAGCCAAGCAGCACAGAAGGAGTAGCTCTAGGACTGAATTTATCTTGTTTAGGTAATGTTGTTGCATAACAAAAACACCCTATTACTCGCA